CCGAAATCCAATTTGGGAGTCCGGGGCGGATGTCATTTGTTTTGTTTTCATGCTTAAGAAATTCATTTGATACCTATCCCGTCCGGGACCCACCGAGCGGCGAAGGGATAGGTCCGCCCAGATCACTCGCCCCTCAGAGAGCGCCAGAGACGTGCCCGTCGGCGCTTGGAGGCCTTGACGTGTGCAAAGGAACCCCTTTCGGGAAACACCGCAAACCGCAGTTTTCGGGGAAACAATGGCTTTGGAAAAAATATATACACGAAAACGAACATGTTTGTTTTGAATGTGCCTCTTTATGAAAAACCCTATGTATGGAAAAGGAAGCAAATGGAAAACCGTGTTTGGGAGGGTGTTGTTGTTGTTTTTTTTTGCGCGTGTGTCTGTGTGTCTTTGCTTTTTTTTTTTTTGGGGGGGGGGGGTCCCGCAAAATGACACGTGATGTTTGATCTGACTGCCCGAGATATAAATTCGGCCCTTTGCTGGGAATCAAAAAAATATGGAGATGCATGTCCACCGACGATTAAGATCCATGGCCATCAGAAAAAAACATCGTGAACAAGGAGTCATCTCATCTGTTCCACATTCCAACCAGCACCACTACCACCACTACAATAACAAAATCACAACAAGCAACAAACAACAAACAACCACAACAACCTCCACGACGACAACGATGACGACCGTGGCCACAATCACAACCGTAGCCACAACGAAAGAAAGGTCTGCAATGTCAACAACCAACCAATGTTTAAGTCACTTATGAAACAAACGAAACAAAACAATGCAAAACTCCAGAAACAACGCCCCCTGACACCCCCCGCCCAACAAAAGAAACACCGTCAGAAACAATAACAAAGACTGTGGTTGGATTAAAAAAAGGAGCGAAAAACCATAGAAAAGCCAAAACCCAACCAAACCCAACCAAACCCAAGGACTTCAAGAAAAACAAAGACTCCAAACCCAAGCTCCAGGCCCCAGGCACCCTCTACGTGAACTTCCGCCTGGGACCCATCCAGCTGGGCACGCCACACGGCGCGGTCCTCCAGATCCGTCCACAGCAGGCCCTTGGCTCCGTCCACCGCCAGGCCGGAGGGGCGCTTCAGGCCGCTCACCACCTCCTCCTAAACGCGGTGGCATGCAACATATATATATATATACAGAGAGAGAGAGAGATGTATATAAGATATATATATGTACATATATATATATATGCTATATATATAGATAGATATCCTGTATGTGTGTGTATATATATATATATATAGGACATAGATATAGCTGTATGGGTGTGTCTTTTTTGGATGGTACCCCCTTTTTGGCAGGTTTTAAAGGGAGACGAAAACGAAAACCACCATGTTGGGGGGGGGTCCGTAATGGTTGTGCTGTTTGGGAGCTGTTCCCCTTCTTACCTTGGCGCGAAGGAAAATCGAAAGTAAAACCATATTTTTATGGGGGCTATTTTGAGAAACACCCATATTGGTTGCCATTGTGTCCCCATGTACGGCTTCCTTGTGGTTTCTTCTGGTTTCCAATGTGATTGCCAATATCCGGCCACCCTTTAACGGGAAAAAAGAAAAGGAAAAAACACTTTTTCGGCAGGAATCTCCCACTCAGGACAGAATCCAGAAAAACAAAGTGCCTTCTCTGCAAATGAAGTTAACATGGAAACCCCCCTCCAAAGCGTGTTTTCGGTGGGGAGGAAGCTCTGGCACCGGGTGACGAAGCTTTGGGGTCCATGGTGATTTTGCATTGAAAAGCATCCGCCCTCGCCAAACTGAGCTCACCCGCAATCTCCGTTAAACAACCTTGGACAATGAACCAAGGGAAGCTCCAAACCACTGTTTAGCGTGCCAAAGGAAACCCAACCGCTGCATCAACTCAAAACAACTCAAAAGCTAAGGAACCACACTAGGCAAAATTTGCTCACTGGGCAACTGACCCTTGGGGACGGAAGGCCTTGGTGCTCGGCGAATATGTTTTTTTCCTGCATCCCATGAACCTCATCTCCCTCAATTTTAGGCTCGACACACTCATTTGTTGAGCTGTTGAGGGGGCCTTTGGTTGAATTTGAGGGCCCATCTGTCCGAGAGCTTACACTAAGACCACCCGCAGGAGTCCGATTCTTCGGAAAGAAAGCGGCCGAGCCTCCCCAAAATGGGTGGTGTCCAGTTCGCTTCCCTTTTATCCGGTTCTCAGGGGGCCCCAAAGACAGGACCCCCCACCAAAGAAACCCGATTAGCGCCTGAATTCGTGGCTATTCGTCCCTACAGGGATTTGCGAAGCGGCCACTAGTGGGGCGCCCTTGACAACCATACTGTGGACAAAGTCCTGCACCACTTTGAAACCATGGTTGAAACCATCGTTTGTTGGGTATTTACAGGGGAATCGAACCATTCCAGGCTTTCTGAACGGTGCGAAATGGATTTCGCAACCACCGCAGGATATTTCTGCAAACCCTCAACCTTCTTTTCGGAACTGGATGGCTGCGAACCGCCAAGTTTGTTCAATCAATTGCGTCCCCTGTCGCCCAAAACAAACCAAAAAAAACACGGCCTCCCGCGCGCAACTAAAAGGATCAAGTCTCCACACCGGAGCCATCCAGCTTCGCCTCAGCTTGCGGATAGACACACGGCTCTCTGCTTTGGTTGGAGGCTCGGTATGCCTGGTGACCAGGGTGGGCTTAAAGGGAAACCAAAGGGAAAAACGTGTGTGTGTTGCTTCTTCTTTCTTGTTCGGGGTCCGCCGATTTGTTCCACACATACCCCCATAAACATTGCCGACGGCTTTAGAGCGACGCTCCTGTATCCAGCCTCCTGCAGCTATCCTGATACATAAGAAGCATATTGCTGATCCCGGAGTAATAACCCCGTCCATTATTAGGGGGATGTTCCCTCCAAAAGTGGTCCGAATCCCACTAAAAGGGGACACCCCTATTCATCAACCAGGGGTTCTACTTAGATCCGGGGTTAACATTACATGACTTTCACTTCTTCTGGGTTTGTCGCATTTAAACAGGACATGCACATTCCCCCAACCTGGAAACTTTGAGCGCACCCCCCAAAAACGGGCGCCAACCCCCCGCAAGCAGCAACAGCGAATGAGAAGAAAACGCACTGAGAGGACTGGCCAGAAAAAGCTCCCCAAACTGCTTGTCAGCCACAATCATGGGCTTCCCAAAAAGATTCAAGTCCATGAACTCAAGAAGTGAGAAAAATACTTCCTACACTGCAAGGCGCTCGTTGGATGTTCTTGAGGGAGGCGTCGATCCAGTACACGTGGCCCGCCATTGCGCGAGCGCGGCCGGAGCGCCCATGGCGAAGCGAAGCGAAGCGGGTGAACCGGCGAAGCCGGTCTGAGACAGCTTTACTTGCTGCTAAGGAAAACTTGAAGAAGCCAAAACGAAAATAGAAAAGTTCAAAAGATATCCACCTTGCCTTTTTTGGGGTCCCACCAAAAGCATATGCTTGATTCTCTGGGCCAAGTGAGCCTCATTTTTTGTTGAACGTAACCCAGGTCATATCACATCCCAACGTCAGTTGAGCTGGAAAAAGCAACACGGTGGGTCAAAACCCGGCATCAAGCTCCATCAACCGGCGGGCTGTCCACCTCTTGGAACGGAAGCCCCGATTGTTCGTTTCGGAAAAAGGACAGCCACTTATGGGTTGGTTGCGTATACTTCCAGGAGTAACAGGAACCCACAGACTCAAGCCAGTTGAGAGGGCTTTTGGGCCATGTTGCCTCCACCTCACAAGCACGCACCATGGAAATGCGTTTCTTGAGCCTGGCGAATGTGCGCTGGAGTTGTATCCCAGTTTCCTGGGAGACGGCTACACACAATATGCATCCATCTCCCAAATCTTTGCCTTGCTTTTGGCTTTCTTCTGGTTTCCTTGTGCGTTCCTTTGACATTCCTCGCGGTTTCCTGTCTTGTTCTCCACCCCCGGACCAAAACGTATCAAGTTCTTTCCAATATGCCAAACTTGAATGTATCAAGCATATAATGAACTGCACATAGATGACAGATTTCGGTATAGGAAGATCATGTGGCCATGGGTCAAAATCCCGTACCCCCAGTGAACATCCCAATCCCCACTAAAATAGGTTCTAAAATGAGTGGTGAATTCATCTACCCCACAATGGGATCCCATTGGTTTTGACAACCACAGCCATGTATGAAAAAGGTGTGAGCCACTAGACGAAAATGGAGAACCACATTCCAAGAGCGGTTCGCCTTTAGCTTCCAAATTTGATTCGATGCTTTATTTAAAAAAATGCTGAGCCTCAACAAAAAAAGGCACGCCCCAAGGTTTCTTCCTTTGAAAAAAAAATGGCCCAGACAAAGACTCGCAACCCTTTTGGCTCCATTCCATGTCAACCGGGTCCCGAACTCAACACGAAATGGACTTTAAGGTGTCAGGAATCCCCTGAACAACTGAGCTATTCAAACCAAAGCCTAGAAACTGCGCACCCCACCCCTCCAGACCTCTTGGTGCAGGTTCTCATAACAGTCCACACACCGTCTCTGGGCTGTTCCCAGATCTCCGGCTACAAACCAACGAAAAAAAAGCTCGAAACCTCAGGAACCGGATGGGAACCACCAAGGTTTGGGATTGCTAAGATAAACCAACACCTCAGCTTCGGAATTCGTGGCTTCGATTGGTGGTTTGGGGACCAACTACCAAAAGGTGAATCAGCTCCGGCAATTGGTGGTTTGGATTGGTTTGGAGGTGGAAGCTTCCCATACACTCTGGACAAGTACCAGGGACCCGTTCAAATCCAAATCCAAACCACATAAGCCCCAAACCACCAATCGGCGGGAACCTGATGACACTGTGGATGGACGAAATCCTGCACCACTTCCAAACCATGGGAAACCATTCTTTACAACGGAATCGAATCATTCCCGGGTTTCTTAGGTGGTGCAGGATTTCGTCCGTCACCCAGAGGGGTCCAGCATTTTGAGCACAACTGACTGAGCAATCGATGCTTAAGCCCTGCGCAGCTCCAGGATCTCGTCGCTGGGCTGGAAAATGGGCGCCGACCACTCCTCCGGGAAGCGGCCGCTGTGCCGGGAAGTGACCGCTGAGGCCGGGAGTCGGTGTGCTGTCAGAGGTTGGGAGGGTGTCGCACGAATCTGAGAGAGGAGTAATGCTGACCCGGGATTAATAAACCCGTCCCATTATTAGGGCGGTGTTCCCTCCAAAAGTGGTCCGAATCCCAGCTAAAAAGGGGGCACCCCCAATCAAAATCCACCAGGGGTTCTACTTAGATCCGAGGTTGACATTAGTTGATGGCTGAATGCCAGAAACCTCATAAACAAAATCAATGCTAAAAGTCAAGGGGATGGCGAAGCACTTGGCGCCGAGCACTTTCCACACCAAAAGGCAAACGAAAACAAGGAAGAAGAAATTGTTCACATTCCTCTGACGGCACGCGGGTTGAAAACTCCTAAGACATGTTGAAAACTCCTAAGGCATTCCAAGGGGGATGCGAGTCACTTCTGACCAGAAGGAATGCCGATAGGGTTGGCCAGACTCCTCACATCACCCCATCTGCATCAAGCCTGCTCTAGATTGGCCTTTGAGAAAAACAAAAAGCTGACGTCAAACGCACAGACCTTCCAGCGGAGAGATGCTGGTTGAAGCCCTACAGATTTTTCCGTGGAACCCACACCGCCATCCCTCGGGCGAATCGACCTCTTGAAAGCCGGCCGTTTTTGGGATCCATGTTGATCTGCAGAGTCGTTGGGTCAGACTGGTCGCAGGTCGGGTGGTCTTGGGGCAAATTTTAATGGCCCTGGAGTATTTCTACCAGGTCAACCAGGATTCGCCATAAAGGTGTTCGCCCAAACCAAAAAGGACATCTGTGGATGGACGAAATCCATTTCGCACCACTTTGAAACCGTGGTTGACACCGTTGTTTGTTGATGTCTTCGTTGGGGAATCGAATCAGCCATGGTTTGTGACCGGTGCTGCGAAATGGATGACTCGCAACCGGCCCGAGTCAAGGTTTGGTCTCCTGCTGGTTGCGCCACCACTTCAGCAGCCGGATGGTGGCCTGCCCCGGAAACCGGTCCCAAATCGGAAGTGGCACATGGGAAGCGGCGGGAATAGATGGTCGTTGCTGCTGGTTTGCTTGTTGCTTTTTCCGAGGCGACCTTTTTCGGGTTGGTGGCCGAAGGGGAAACCAGCAACCTGGGCTGCCACACCCATATTGGGCGTAGAACGTGGGGATATGTGAAATATGTGCTGCTTCCCCTTGGACAAAAGTATTGAACGAGTATCACATACTCTTTGTCTGTGTCTCCCCCAAAAACAAGAAAACCGAAAACTACCGACCATACCTACCGAGAAAAACAAAAAAGGCCTTCTCTTCTGACACCTTGCCAACTAACAAGAACGCCCTTTTGACCCCATGGCAGGTGGGGCCAACTTGGCTCCAGCATGCTTCAACTGCTGTTTGCGCCACCTCCCTTGGGGACTTTGGGGAAGCCTGAGGACAGGATCCATGGACTCATCGATCGGGTGAAGTAGAAAAGTCACGAACTGGAATCAGAAATTCCCGAGGAACCTGCAAAATAGCAACAATAATACTAATAATAACAATCTCAATAGTACTTACTCAAAAAGAAATGCCTAAAACCCTTGTTTCTTCTTCATCATGGGCTAAACCCTTCGGGTCTTGGCTTGCCGCCTTCACGCTGCCCGGCTGGCGCGCCACGAAGCGGACCCGCTGCTCCACCTCGATTCCAACCGGCGGCATTCCCCCTCCCAGCAACTCACCTGGGTTTAGGGCTTAGGGTTTCAGGGTTTGGGGTTTAGGGCTTCGGGAACCGGGGACTCTATCGGTTTAGCAGCCTGCTATAGTCTAGGTTCTCCAGTAGAGAGATTAGAATAAGGGTACCCGATGTTTCTTTCTATTGTCGGGGAACCCTCCCCCACAAAAGAAACGGTCAAAGGGCACTACTGCGGGACCTAGTTTAGCAGCCTACCACTAGTGGGAATCTACTGGGATCCACTGGGATCTACACATGCTTTTCCACTACCCTCCCATCCCTTTTCACATGAAACCGTCTGACGTAAAAGGGGAATCGGTCCTGGATTGGACCATGTTCCTTTCTAAGGGACCGGGTCCGGAACGTCAGGTTCCATGTGAAAGGGTGGGAGGGTAACCCTTGATGGGTGGGTTTGGACTTGGATTTGAAATGGATAATGGGAAGCCACCTCCTAACAGCTGAAAGCTATGGGGTCGAAAGGCCCAGATAGGCGCCCCAAGGGTGGTTTTGGGGCAGCTTTCAGGGAGGGTTCCAAAAGCAAATTCGAAGGGGATGACTAACAAAAATGGGGCGGGAGAATTGTGCCCGCTTTCCCTCAACAGTACCCCATGATGAGGGTTCCTGAATTGCTTGCGGATTTCATGATTGAGGTACCAAGCAACTTCCTGACCCCAGACTTTTTTGAGGTTCGGGCCCGCAAAGTAACTGGTTACCCTTGTGGTGGGCTGAAGGGAAACCACCAACCACTTTTCCTTTTCTCACCCCTAACAGACAACGAAACATACGCCACAGGGATTGAAACAGCACAACAACCCCAGGACCCCCGTTGACTTTGATACTGTGTGACTTTGTTTGAGGCTCGGCACCAGCGTCCCCCTTTTCTTTGTCCAGATGGGCTTACTGGAAGGCCCAAAAAAGGGGCCGAGCCACCATCTAAGGCACATCCCTTCCTTGGCTTGGTGGATTCCAAAGACACCAAAGAGCGCCTTCTCCCCCCCCCCCCCCCGTTGTTTTTGTTTTTTTCTTTGTCTGGGTGTGGCAATCCAAGATGACCCCCGAGAGATTGGCCACCGAGACTGGGGGGGTTTGTCCGTCCCTCCGCGCACATCGAGCCCTCCGGCGAAGGAGGTCTGCCACCTCCAGGCCTGCGGGTCATGCTTCGCCATGGCCTAGCGCCGAAAAACGGCCTTAAGCCGCGCGCCGAGGGCGGAGAGGGCAAAAGCCCGGGGTTTTGGGGGGGAAAACGCGTGGTGGCTCCAAGGGGGAAAAAAAAGAAAAGGGGGCAAACCCCTGAACTTCGAAGGGAGCAACGACCAAGAGCAGGTTTTGGACGGGACATGCCATTCAGTGCAGCCGAACAATCGTCCAGCGGCTGAAAGGGAAAGAACTGGGACCCTTCTCTTCTTGAGAACTTGTTTTTTGCCACTTTCACCCCTGAACATTCAACTTCAAACCAAACGTGGTGGACTGGAGAAAAGAAAGGACCGGCCAAGAGTTGGATCGATTGGAATCCACGAGCCGTACACGTAAACTTGGGGCACCCCTTGAGCCCACACGCGTCCAGTTGTGTTGTCTTCTTCTTTCTTTCTTGTTTGAAGCGCTTGAGACCCAAAAACCCCACTTTAACCCCCCTCTGCAAGAAGTGTCACTTTTCGTGGGTCCAAGTCCAAAAATCGCACTGGTTCAAACAAAAGTTAGTGTCCAAAGATCCGTTACCAAATAGCAATCAAGCTTGTGGCATCCAAAAAAAAACATATAGATCCAAGCAGTCCAAAGATCCGTTACCAAGCAGCCATAAAGTCAAGCTAAGGTCCGCTCCCTTTACCCAGAAGCATCTGAAGCATGCCTCAAAAACCGCTCGCAACCCACATCTCCCAAGTGATCCGTTACCAAGTAGCCTTAAAGTTAGGTTGTAGCCATGGAGCCCTTAAGTCCTGGTCAAGTAGCCGGCAACTTCTAACGCGTCCGACCATGCTTTTGTCTCTCCCATTTGGGTGTGGCTCAAAATTCCAGAGCAAGGGTTGCGCAGATTTTGGTCTTTGGCTCCATTTGTCAAAGGAGCATTTGGGGATTCCCAGTTTTTAAGCCACAGCCATTTCGTGGCTGAAAGTCATCTTCTAGGTCCTCCAGCAGAGCGCTTAGAATAAGGGTACCAACTTTTTTCTGTAGTCTATTTTAGTAGGGGAACCCTCCCAACCAAAAAGGGGTGAGAAAGCTTGCACCTAGCTGGGGACCTAGTCTTTCTGCTGAGTCCAAAACCCAAGTAGCTGCAAAACCCCTAACGTGTCCGACCATGTTTTTGCCTCTCCCATTGAGTGCTGACAGTCCATCTTTCTGGTGGCTTCCCCCCAATGCTCATCCCATGTTCACCAGACCTTTTCATCAACCCCCTACCCCCCCAACCCCCCCAACCCCCCCCAAACCCCCCCCAACCCCCCCAACCGCCCCAACCGCTCCCAACCCCCCCAACACCTATTTATGGCCAGTGGATTATCCCTTACTAACCTTCACTTACCCAGGTTTTGCTTGAGCAAAATGTTCCAGCTATTTAGCACCACACCAACCGCATAGCATTTTTCGAGCCACATTCATCCAATGTAGTGGCTGAAAGTCCATCGTTCTGGTGGCTTCCCCCCCAATCCCATCCGCGCCTTGGCTTGGCGGTAGCTCCGCTCCGCCGCGAAGCGCAGCTCCAGGCGCGGCACCGGCGGGGAGCTGCTCAGAAGCACCGCGTCCTCCGCCGAATTCGCGACGCGGCGCTCGCGCGTGAGAGGCGCTCACCGAGGCGCTGGTCGCTTAAGGAAACAATGCGTCCGTTTGCTTAGCTGGTCCGGTGGATTGTTTTTCTTGTGTTTGTTTGTTTGTTTGTTGCTTTTCTCTTCTTCTTCTTTTTGTTTGGGTGGGGGGATTCAGCCTTGGCTGGGCTGTCCGTTTTTTCTGATCCCTTAAAGTGACTGGCGTTTAGTGGGTGAAATACGGAAACCCCACCAGGGAAAAATCAGAAACCTACGGGGACAGCTGGGAACCTTCCAGTGGAGTCTACTGGTAGTGATCGATTCCTAAGCCAACCGGGGAACAAGAATATCCGGAAGCAAATGGAAGACTGAGAATCGGCTTCTCACACAAAAAATGCCCCCATAAAATGCTTGGTTCCGTTTGGTGTCCTACCAAAAGCTCCACCATTTTGAGCAGATGACGAAACCGGATGCGGAAAAACACACAAGGAGAGTCCTTCGACTTGCGGAGCCTAGTTCAACATGTTGGTCCCTCTGAGCCTTGGTGAAAAACTCCCATCACAAAATGCACACAATTCATGGTTCCCTTCGTCCTTGTCTAAATTCCCGAGGCGCATGGCCATTCCTTCCGAAGTGCCAAAGTGTGTGTTGAACCAAGGCGTTGGCCAATACCCGTCTGAGCAGGTATTCAATTTTTAAGCCTTCTGAGAGCTGCAGAACTTGAATATGTCTTGCCATCCGCTCTCGCAGCCTCTCAAGGCCAAAGCAAAGGCCTGTTTGAATCCGGGCGCCGACCCGGGAATCTTCAAGAAGCCCAGTGCAAACAGGTGCACTTCGCGGACCGGATCAGCACAAGTTGGCAGACATGTGATGAGGAAGGCCAAGCCGTTTTGTCACGGGTTGTGTTTTGCCCCGTGAGGTTTGGTCATCTTCTTGTCAGCAACCCCAACAACTTGATTGCTGTCCTATCTGCGCAAAGAACTTAACTTCTGGGTCCAATGCACCAAATGGCCATGGGTCAAAATCTAAAATGGGCGGTGAATTCACCTACCCCAAAATGCTACCGTTGGTTTTGACCACCACAGCCAAATAGCCCTAAAAAACCTCTTAAAACCGAAGGAAGCCGCTTGGAGCCCAAAACTCCGCGCCTGCGCCAGCGTCACGCCCTTCAGCCGCTGCGAGAGAAGCGCGGCCTCAAGCTTAGCGTTTGGTTTTTTTTTCGGCGACGCGGCGACGTGGGGAGAGACCAAAAACGAGGCCCAGTAGGGACGGGGTCCCCCAAAGCCATGAATCCCCAAGGGTCTTGAGGCCCAGGGCCTCGGGGCCTCAGGGCCTCAAAGTGGAACTCTTTGGCTCTGGGGCTCAGGCGACGGCCGGCAGCAGCTGGTGCAGCCATTGAGCTTCAGGAGCAAAGGTGTTGATGAAGAACACCACCTCAAAAGGACAAGGGCACTTCACTTAGAGAAGTGAAGCTCAAAATGTTCAGGGATCAACCACTAAGTCAAGAGGCCCTTCCCGGGTCTGCAAAGAGAAAGTCGCAAATAGGGAAGGGCCTCTTGACTTAGTGCTTGATCCCTGAAAAACTTGAGCTTAACTACTTGTGGGAATCATACAACCTGTAAACTCCAAGAGTCTAAGCGTCTATATGACTGGGAACCGAGCTGAGGTACATCACCCGCACGTTCCCACCGTGCATGATCTTAAAGGACCCAAAATGGACATCAGGATTCGGGGGTCATGTCCACCAACCACTATAGGCTCCATTCTTGCAACTCATAAATCCAGATCCAGTAACAACCCTAAGCCAACCCGAAGCCAAGCCTAAACCCACTCTAAACCTCCGCAAAAGAGAAACACACGCACACACCCAAAAAAGAAACACGCTCGTTCACTAACAGCCCACCCTAGCACTTGGAAAAACAAATTGGCAGTGATACTGGGGAAGCGGGGATGTGCGAGGATTGCCGACAAAGGAAACCATGTCTGAACATTACTCAAGAAATACGTTGGATGGACAACATCCTGCACCAAGTCGAAACCATGGGGAACCACCGTTTGTTGGTCTTTACACGAGAATCATCATTCCAGGCTTTCTTAGGCAGTGCAGGATTTCGTCCATCCACAGAAATGTCAACCTAAGTTTACTAAATGGGGACGTATTAATAGAATTCTCGGCCACCGGATCCGCTTTTTGACCCAATACTAAATTAAGAAGGGGCTAATTCAAAAGTTAATTGCAAACATACAATAACGCCCCCCCCTCCAAGTCGACCCTCCAAAGCACAACATTAATAAACCGCCCAAAAAACACATATTATTAGAATTCTCCGAAACGCGGGGCGAGCCAAACACGTTTTTTGGTATCAGGAAGCAAGCCAGTCCAAATGATTCAAAAGTAAGCAGGTGCCGTGCAGAAGTTGATGGCACAGAGACACATGCAACAAGTGTGCAGCGCACCAAGGAAATTACATAACTGGAACCTTCAAAGGCTCCCCCGCAGACCTCAGATCTCCAAAAAACATGCCCGGAAGGTGCGGCCGTTCAATGAAGTCTCTTTACAAAAGTGAGGTCCCTGGACTCCAACATCAACATGAGGTACCCCACACAAGCTCCCCAAACCTGCATTAGTAAAAGGGTTCACATTAATAAACACCCCAAAGCAACCCCTAGGAAGAACTAGGTATTGGTACTGCACCAAGTACTACAACGAGTACTCGTTGTACTAGAAATAATACTACAAGTACTAGAAGCAGTACTACAAGTACTCTAGAAGTAGTTCTACAAGTACTACAAGTACTACAAATACTACAAGTACTACAAGTACTACAAGTACTAGAAGCAGTACACCTACAGCCACTACTGCAAGTACTACAAATACTAGAAGCAGCACAAGTACTACTACAAGTACTACAGCCACCACTACAAGTACTACAAGTACTAGAAGCGGTACCACAAGGACTACTACAAGTTCTACTACTACTACTACAAGTACTACCTTGTAGTAGAAGCAATATTACAAGTACAATTGTATTTTTATTACGGTACTTTGCCCGAAAAAAGAGGGAAACAAAGTTGAGGGCGGAACCCCGTTTACCAATATGAAGTCGACATTATGTCCACATCCCTGCTTCCCCAGGTACAGCCTGCTTGTTTCTTCGTCTCAAACCGGTACCCCACTTCCGCCTCCGCATCCGCCGGGCAGACGCCGGCGCCTGTGCCCTTGCCCATGGACCCCCCCGGCACCACGCGCGCAATGTCCAGCGGCAAGGCCCGCAGCAACTGACGTCGAGGCCATGGAGTGGGGCGGAGGCTGGGGGGGGGCGGGGGGCTCTGGGGGTGAGTTTCCGGTGGGGGTTCTGGGGGGCTGGGGGCTCTGAGAGCAACTTGAACATCCTGGCCTTATCCAACAGGGGCTTGGATCATAAGCTCAAAGAGGGAGTTTGGTATGTGTCACCTTTGGTGCATGAGCAAAGCGCTCCCCAAACACCTCATCGCGGGGGGAAAAAAAAAAGAGACTTGTTTCAGCCTGACCGCAAAGTCCTCGAGCCAGTCATGTTGGGATGAGGTGCTCAAAGAGTTCAGTTCAAATGGGTTTGGATAGCACAGGCGCATCATGTGATTCAATGTGGGACCAAGCCATGCAACCGCCAGGTTTCTAGTAGTGGAAATCTTCGACAGAAGGCTCTTTCCCCCAGAAGCGCAGCAACAAGGGGGAGGAAAAGAAACAAACCAAAACAAGAGAGAGAGAGAGAGAGAGAGATAGAGAGAGAGAGAGAGAGATAGACAGAGAGAGAGAGAGAGACAGACACAAATGAACCCTTTTTCTACGCCCACTAATTTTCCCGAAATGAAGATATTCGACTTGCAAGCCATAAATACGGACGTTCTTGGATGAGTACGCTGGATGAGTATCAACGAAAATGTGGAAGAAAAAACATGCCATCAAGTAAAAAGTTGTGGGGCAATTTTCGGAAAGGATGGTGGAAGGACATGGCGATGAAATTGGTGAGAACCACATACTGGAGCATTTGGGTATGGCTCAGCAAGAAAGAGGTAGGGTCACGCAATTAGGATCTGTTTCCGTATACCAAGGTGCCATTTCGGGGATAGGGTTAAACATCCAACCGTTGGCTATATGGCCATGGGTCAAAACCCAATACCTCCCAATCCCCACTAAAATAGGAAGCCTAAAGTTGGTGGTGAATTCACCTACCAACCAAAATGGGATCCCAAAACGGTTTTGACCACCACAGCCATATCTTTTTCCTTGCTAAGCCCCGAAAGTAAGGAACCCTTTGGTGGACATCATTTGGGGATTGATGTCCACCAATCACTCTTGAGGTGGTTCCCTGTTAAAATTCATGGCCATATGAGTCGAAATCAAAACCTGGTACAAAATCGGTGAACTCAGAACCATGTACAGGATTAAGCAGGCGGATATCCGCAGCTGTGGGATCGTCCCTTACTAACCTTCATCTACCCCGGAAGAGGAAACCAGTCGTGACAATCGGCCTGTGTGAGCTCCTCCAAGTGCTCGGCCAAAGCTTTGGCCACCTGCAGCTTCGTTGCCGCTCGTATCAACATTCCTGCCTACATACACGGCATATACAAGGTGTGGTTGTATGTATATTAGTGGTATCATTATTATACCACAAATTGTTGTGTTATACCCCATTATACTACCGCTACAATGTGTGGATTGAATGTATATTTATCATTAATAATATCATTACTGTTCTTATTGTTAATATTACTATTACCATTATTACCATTATTATTGTAGGACCCGACGAGAAAATCGAGCTCCCCCAAAACTGGATGGCCTTCCCCCCGGTGGGAGATGTGGGAGATCGAGCCCCAATGTCCTCCCCAAACTCGCAGCAAACTAGCAGTGGTGAATATACTTGTCTACAAATATATGGTAGAGGTCTGGCACCCCCCCCCCTCCCCCGCCATGGTCATGGTAGCCTTAAATTTGGGGGGGGGGGGGGGGGTTGGCCGCTCGCCGACCGGAACCATATATTTTTATACATATGTATATTCCTTTCAGCCCCTGAAACCAAGGGCACATATCCATTTTCCCCTGCGGAGGGAAACGAGTGGTTTTTTCGGGGGATTTGAGGGCACTGCATCTTACAAAAGAAAAAAACCCAGGCCATTTCACAGGGCTTCGCCCAATAAACTGTGGATAGTTGTGCTTTTCCATTTCGCACCACTTGCAAGCCATGGTTGAAACCAAGACTTTTTTTGTATACAAGTCGAATCACAAACCAGGTGCAAAATGGATTTAGCAGCCATCCACAGGGCGCTTTGCGTAGGTATATACTGGGGAATCGAATCGGAAACCAGGGGTTCTGAAAGAGTGGTGCAAAATGAATTTCGCGTCGCCATCCACAGGGCGCTTTGCTTATTTCAAGCGCTCCGAGATAAAGAATCGCCTTGGAATTGAAGGCGCGGCTGCAGAGGCTGTTGTGCAGGTCCAAGTACCTGGGTTGTCGGACCTTTCTCCCTCCCCTTTTACTGTGGATGGATGAAATCCATTTCGCACCATTCAGAAACCCTGGTTTCCGATAACAAACAAATGGGTATGGCTCAAAAAACCGGAATTCCAAAATGGAACCCTGGTAAGTGGAAACATGGACCAAAACCTGCGTACCCCTAGCTCTTCAATTTTGAGCCACTGCCACATGACTTCCCCTGGTTGCAAAGCGGTGCGAAATGGATTTCTCACCATCCACAGTCGGGGGCCTTTCTTGGCTCGCAAGGTGTCGCTTGACCAACCCCGAAATCCGGTTGTGGTAACATGCCTAGGTCCTCCAGTAGAGAGGTTAGAATAGGTTGGTACCCGCTGTAGTCTGTTTTAGTAGGGGAACCCTCCCAAAAAAAGAAGCGGCAAAAGGGCACTGGGAAACCTAGATGCTGGCCCAGGACACATCCCCACAGAGGGAAGCAACTCCAAAACAACACACCCCAGGTGACCATGCCAAGACACTCACTGTGCGATAGCGAATCAGCCTTCCCAGTGTGAACCACCACACACGATCCCCCTCCCGAAGAAGGACAACGGCTTGAAAACCAGTCAATGTTCTTCCCCTCCCATGCAAATTGTCATGAGAGCTGACAGGAGGTCGGAAGACACTCTTCCTCTTCTGTTTTCCACTACATGGGTGGGTACAGTTCAAAAAAGTTTTGGGCTTCCCCTTACGTCCCCTTGCTCACAGAAACCCTTTTTTTTTACTCCTTGGTTTTGAGGTTTGCCCCTGCCCCCCGGGTCTGCAGGGCACTTCTGGTTGTCTTCAGGCCTCGGGTGGAAAAATGTGGCCTCGCTCTGCCTACCCTTCCCCGCGAACAAAAGGCACTGGGAGCAAACCTGGAAGGTCTCCCTCTCCTTGAGGAGCCCTCTGTCAGGTATGGCAAAATGAGGGAAGGAAAATTGGTAAGGAGCCAATACCAATGGTCATGTTGAGGCTCGAGGCGACCCTCTTTAGCAACCCCTTCGTTGCTTTTCTGGAATCGAGGATTCCTGGAAGTTTACTTGGGAGCCAAGGATTCTTGGCAAAGAATGAGGAAAAAATGTCCTCTGGATTCATTGTGGATTGGTGGAAACTGCTTTGACCCCAGGTTCCGCTTGAAACCAAATCCTCCAAACCACCAATCCAAACCACCAATCTGAAGAAAGTGCTATAAACGCGGCTTTGGGAACAAGCGGATCTGGAAGCATGCGGAGGCTCAGCGCGCCCCTCGCTGTTGTGGGAGATTTAGGAAGTCCCCGGTTTCCCCAACCGCCGACTACTCCAAGGTTGGTTGAGGTCTCTTAAAAACCCACCCCGACAAAAGACACCAGGAAGCGAAAACAAAGAAAAATGCCTCGCACGAGCTTTGGGTTGGGCCTGTCCTCCAAACCGGCCCTGGAATTGCCAACGCCACAGTCGGCTGTGAAGGGACTCCGCTTAGTGCCCGGCAGCCTGCTCGCCGCGCCTCGGAATGCACAATCTATGCTGAATATTCGCCCACAGCCACGAAAGACACAGCTGCAGCTCTCATACATCCTGCGCGTAAACTAACCACATCCCACCATAAAACCCTGGAAACATGTGGTAAGTGACAGGTCTCCTACTCGCAAGGGCTCTGGCATCTTCAGCTGGACCCCAGGAAGACTACCTTCACATACTGTGGTGATTTGCCTGAAAATACCAACAAACAATGGTTTCGCATGGTTTCAAAGCGGTGCAGGGTTTCGTCCATCCACAGCAGGCCCAGCAAAAAAACGAGTCGGAGCCCCAAGCCCTTCACTCGTAGGCTGCGAGATCTCACTCGCCACGCGCGCCTCACAGGCCAGGGCGCCCAGTTGGTTCAAGGGATCCAACCATATGGGTGGCGCATCTTTTTAGAGCCAAAATGGTGGGTTGGCGGGTGTCCCTTTAACACACCAAAAAGGGGTACCCCGAAAAAAAGACCGGCCCACATGAGTTAGAACGGTCTACCCAAACCTGGAATTAGAACGGTCTACCCAAACCCACGCTTCTGCAAACTGATCTGAACCATTTCGAGCCCCTGCTTAAAGGGAGTCGCGGTTGGATGTCACCGACAAATCCCTGTCCACCTGTTCATTTATCAAGTTTTACAAAGAGGTCAGCTTCCTGCAACGGTTAAACCTAGTTTTGCCTGTGTGCTTCACTTGTTGTTGTGCGATTTAGGGCAATAAGCTTGATAAACCCACGATGAAAGAACGGCGGCCCATCGGAAAGGGGATGATCATGCTGGCTATCATCTCAGCTTCTGTCCCCAAATAGAAATTACATGTTCACATTGGTAGCCTTTCTGCGAAAAAAAAAAAAAAAAAAAAAAAAAAAAATGAAGGGTCCCCGAAACATACACACACCCATATGCGAACTTCTTACTGTACGGCGTCCATCGATCCGGCAAATCGGGCGTGCGGCATACACGGCGTTGCCCTGCAGGGGGAAGCCGTGGCTCGACAGGAAGTCCTGACGGCAAGGGGGCTCAGCTTCCTCTTCTTTGCTGAGAAGCCAGTAGACAGAACGCAAAACAGCGCAATATGCCGCTTTTGTTTTTCGTTGCAATCTAAGTGCCTCGGTCGATCTCTTAACAATATGTCAGGATGCAATCTCGCAGAAAATCTCTTGGCATCTCTCTGTGTTTGGTCGTCCGGGGGCCAGGAACACTGATCAATCACCTAAAACAAATTGAAATGTCCAAGCAAGCAACGCTGAAGGGTATGCCGTATGCCTGCCTTGCATTAGCGGCTGCCTACATGACCAAATTGATGTCAAAGCAGAACCATCATGTCATTGTATGCCTTGACTGTGAAACTTGTGTGCTGCATTTGTCTTTTCAACACGGGCCAGCTGTGCTTGGCTCCCTCTTAGGGGTTGTCGCCCCACCTGAATCCCGTGTCAGGTTGGCACTTGCACCTATCAGCGGCTCCCTCTTCAAATGCAAGTTTGGATACGCCCGGCTCTAAGTCCGGCTCCCGCACCACTGGCTCGCTTGCGACATCCATTCGCACCACCGTTCAGAAACCCTGGCTTCTGACGACTCCGCCGTAAACTCCAAGCAACGGTTGCAACCATGGCTTTAAAGTGGCGCAGGATTTCGCACCCATCCGCATGGCGCACGTGCCGTAGTACCATGACACGCCTGGAGCTTGTTGCCGAGGCCCAACGCCTGGACATGATCCCGCACCCAAAGAGCAGTGCCAACTTTCCTTGGGTGCACCTTCTTCAAAAATAACCCTTTCCCCGCGGTTTTAAAGGAGGAAACCAAAAGGACGCCAACCATTCTCTGGGGGTCACATGTTAAGACACATCCACTTGGGGGCTAACGTCGAGCCTGAAGCAAGCCACGTCGAGCCCAACGCCTGCAGAGTCTGGGCCGCGCTGACGCCGTGCTTGTAGCAGTAGAGCAGCGCCAACCTTCCCGCGGCCAGTTGGGCGGAAAAAAAGCACCAATCTTCCTCGAGAAACAAAAACATTTCCCCTCCCCCAGGCGATTCCATGGAAGCTTGCAGGATCCTTTTGGAAGACTTGGTGACCCATTTGGAGCTTCCGGCTGTTAGCCTGAGGGTGTTCCTGAAAACAAAATTGATGTTAAGAAGGCGGTTGCCGAACATGTAAGTGCTTTTCTTAGGGGACCCCCCCAAACTGGTTGGGCAAAGACCCCATAGCTTGCAGCTGTCGGACACGACAACAGACCCGTGTAGAATCAACGGGTGCTTCCTGAAATGCATCTCTTACCTCCTTTTTGGAGACTGCTACCATTTGTAGAGGTCACATCCATGCACTGCGATCAAATAGAACCACCCCAGAGCCATCGGTACAAAGACCTCATAGCTTTCAGCTATGCTAAGCCAAGATGTTTAGGACAGGGCGGACCAATAAATCCCCATGTCCACGGGAAAAAAATACACCAGCCTCGACCCCAAACAGCAACAAAGCATGACAGGTCTGTATCCCAAAAAAGGCTTGTCTCCTTCATGTAAGGTGCGAAATTGAGTAGCTTAGCCAGCGTCACAGCATCGCAGAGACAAGACACAGGGAGACAAGCGGGAGACACGACCGTCGCAGCATCTGGCATCTGACCGCAGAGACTGGGAGACACAGGGAACACTGGGAGACAAAGGGAGACAAGCGAAAGGGAGACAAGCGGGAGACACGACCCCGGAGCCGGCGTCACAGCATCTGGCATCTGACCGCAGAGACTGTGGGAGACAAGCGCCCCGGAGCCTGGCATCCACAGCGCAAGCACGAGAGACACAGGGAGACAAGCGGGAGACACGACCCTGGAGTCAGCGTTACAGCATCTGGCATCTGACTCGAGAGACTGGGAGACAGGAAGACAAGCGGAAAACAGGACTCCGGAACCGGCGTCACACTTTCCCATTCTCTATACCTCAAGTTAGAACCCCAATGCTTCGCTGTTTGGGGAAGAAAAAAACACTCACAACTCAGGCGCAAAATTGCTCCCACCGAAATGATGAGCTGAACCGCCCGGAGATCCGCACTTGTCGGCCCCCGAAAAGTGAAACGCGGCGGCGCACTCATCTACGGAGATCCCATCCTTCAGCAGCTCCTGCGATGTCCATGCGGATAGGCCAAGGGTCGAAGCGCGGGGAAAAAAAGTTCGTGAGCACCTGGGGTTCAAATGGGGAACATAGAGATTCCCCTCATGTCCCTCCAAAAAACGTTGACTCAAGGTGGAACCTTTGGACATCGGTCGTTGTGTTCTTGGTGCCCTGTTGGTGCTGTCAGAACCCAAACCGAAACCCAGCATTCTGAGAAGCAGCTTCCCAGATATTTGAGCTCGGGAGGCGCCTGCCAGGAGAACCATCGCACAGAAAAATAGCAAAGGTTCCGTCGCACGCATGGGAAGGTGAAATCGAAACCCGTATGGCTACCGAGATTAAAACAGGCCCCCTCCCACTTTGTCCCATCCTTCCCCTACAAAGCCTCAAAGAAGGGTTTTCATCCAATATCTCCCCTGAAAGGGTCCAAAAATCTCACCTCCGGGAAATACGCAGCTCTTCCTCTTGATAGACTCCAGTCAAATCTGCTCACTTGCCGACGAGTTGCAAAGACTTGGAACAGATTCCCTTTTTCTTTGTTCCCGAATCCCTAGCCATGTGTCTTTCCAACTTGGATATGTCTAAATCCAAACTCGATGAGCTGAGTCATTGAGGAACCGCACGGTTCCGCGCCGAGCTAGCTCTTCACCCGACGCCGTCGACTCCTCCAGCTGCTGCAGGAAGGCGTCAGCAGAGGCAATCGCAGTAAGGACCAAGGAGCTGCCCTCCTGATTCGAGTCCAGCGGAGATGCCGGAGAACTCACCCCTCCGTGGGTGAATTCAGGTCCCCTCGATTCATGCGAAGGTCGTTTTCCGTGAACCACGGCAAAGGAACACTTGACTCAATCCAAGCCATCCAGGCAACAAGCATTTAAACGCCACACTCACCCACCAAGGAAGAGACAACTGCGGAAGGCCTGAAAAAGCTAGAAGCTAGTCACCCCCATCTTGTTTGGCGGGCGTCTCAAACTTAGGACTGCTTTTGGGGTCCCAAAGCCTCAGGAAGGCTCCCAAGGAATCCGAAGGAACCTTCGCAGAAATTCTCGTCAGGGTTCCGAGAAGGGTTCATTCAAATTCCTCTCGGTGCGAACCGGTGCAAGTGAGCCCGCATCCAAAAGCACAACCCCGGTTCCAATGTGCTCTTGCTTCAAGCTTCGTTGGCATCCACTCATGCGCCCACCAAAATTCCAAGAGAGCGACCTGAGCAACCTGAGCCACCCTTGTCGCACACCAAAACCTGGCAAGGTCGCCATTTACTTGGAGCAGTCAGAACTTGGTGCTCAATTCAAGGAGCCCACAAAAAGACCCTGCGGATTCTTTGGTTTTTGGCTTGAACCCCAGAAAAGCAGAATTTGAGGTTGAAACAGGTGGTTCAACCGCAGGTTCAAACCTGACAGGACCCTTGCGTTGCATTCCTTCAAGGCACACCGCTCCAGAGCTTCATCGAATCCAAAGATATCATTTGTGCCCAGGGGAGGAAGGTTGCCACAAAAGAGTTGTAACATATACGGGAATTGCGTGCGTAACAATTGAGATAAAGGATATGAGATTCATAGATTCATCACCATAGCCACCAAGTTGCCTTCAATTCCTGTGGGGTGGTTCGCTTGACCAACAAGGAGCTCGGTGAATTGGAAGGCCCCCACAAAAAACCGTCTGTCACTTTTCCCACGTGGTTGAAATACTGTGGATGGACGAAACACCTAAGAATGATGATTCCCCTGTAAATACCAACGAACGGTGGATTCCCATGGTTTCAAAGTGGTGCAGGATTTCGTCCATCCACAGTATCAAGTAGGTTAGTAGGTTTAGTGGTTTCCAACCAATGGGTCATCCCATGTAACGGACCTTTTGAGCAACCATGTCGGTCCAACACTGCCCGAGAAACATACTCCGAATTGCGTAGTCTGTCCGTGAGTGGCGGCATAATGCTGGGATGGGCGAAATCCAGTTCGCACCACTTTGACACCATGGCTGAAGCCAGCATTTGTGGGTATTTATAGAGGAATCATCAAAACCCAGGGTTTCTGAACGGTGGTGCAACATGGATTTCGCAACCATCCACAGCAGGGAGGGAGACTTCCACACTGCGTCAGCGATCGCTTCGCACCTGGACGCCGCACTGATGCAGCGCAGCCTCCTCGGGCAGCGGAACCGCATCCAGCGACAGCACCTGGCGGCTTTTTGTGGGTGTCGAAGCCAGCGCTTCGAATCGTCCGGGCTCATGAAACCTAGACAAATGCGGCCCCCTGCAAAAAGAAAAGCTTCTTGCTGGCATAAAGGTATGATGGAAACCAAACAAAAATAGGCCAAAAGTGCGAAAGGAAGCTAGGTCTGGCCAAGTTTCTTGATTTGGGTAGCCAGTGCAATGAAAAAGGGAACTGAAAGGCAAGCCCAAAATCCACATGCCCAAGACCAAACCACCATCACACTATTGGTGACTGGGACCGGCTTGGAGGTTGGCAACCGAAAGGAAAAATGGAGGTCCCGTTCCAATGGGTCCCGTACATCGGAACGGACGAGGCCACTGAGGACGTGGAACAGTTGGTCTCTGCAAAATTATTTCTTTTTTTGGGGAGGGAGAAACTTCAGCGAGCGGGGCCCCCATATGTTCCTCGCAAATGAACCATTGACAACTGATATGACGGAACCTCAAATGGAACCCTACCCAAAGTGGGTTCAAATGTAGGCATGTTTAGAAACAACCAAAAAGAGTCGGCAACACCAAAACAAGGCACACCAGTTTGAAGCAGGCACCCTCATGTACCAACTCCAAATCAAGTTGCTTCTCGGGTATGCGGCATGCGCGTTGCTTGTGATTCCCTTTGAAACCAGAATACAAGGAGCCTTCTTGTGGCTAGGGCTTGATTCCCTCGGCTCCCTCTTTCCGTCTGTTTCACCTCGGCGTTTGCTGTTTTGGGAAAGCTCGATCAAACTACCAGCAGCAACCACAGGCCTGATACTAACTCTTCATGCAATCATGGGGTTGACATACGCAAGCAGAAGGGAGTGCTTGAAAGGTCTATTGTTGAACCACAAAACTCAACCTCCTCAATAGTGAAGCTTCCACACATTTCACCCAGGGAGGAGCACTCCCCATATGTGTTAACAGGGGTTTATCGATATGGGGTCAACCTCACACGTCAAAAGCAAGTCAAAGCCTATTGCCGGAGTCCCAGCGCCCCCCCGGCCACCAACCGCCTGGTCTGGGAAGGGCACCAGGGACAGCGAGGCGATGCGCTCCTGGCGGTCCAGGTGACTTCAGAACATCGGGGCGAGTCCACCTGATTTCCCATGGGTTGCCAGCCTTACCCTCATGGGCCGCTTGGCGTCAGGGTAAAAACCCCACCCCCTCAACCAAAAGACCAAACGTAAGGGCGTGTCCTTTTTGGAGTTATTTAAAGGGTTGGGTTCTGCACTCTGCACTCTGCACTCGTTCCTAAGGCAATAGGACCAAGTCCAAACTGTGTCTGTTTGGAGTCGGTAATTACCCCTTTCTTGCTGGCTTATCAAAAGAACATCCAGCTTGTTGGAGCTTCCCCCCAAAAATAATGACACCACGCCCCAAGGAAACGCTTTCCAATGGCATCACCCCCCCAAAAAAAAAAAAAAAATCCCAAGGAAGCGCGATTATCAATGGAAAAGTGAAACCTCCATGCAACCTTTCTGTTTTTGGGCCATGGATCGCCTTCAGCGCCCCCACGGTGTCATTGGCTCCTCAGCTCAGCTCTGCGATGGGAACCGACCGGGCTTCGTAGAACTGGCTATGAGTCAAAACCCTGTGCCCCTGGTGAACATCAAAATAGGTGGCAAATGGATTTTCATCCCGCCCGAAATGTTGCCATAGGTTATGCCCCATGGCCAACTTGCCATGGGTGCGATAGGGAATGACGACGAGCCCAGGGTTTGGTTGAATGAACCGGTCTTGGGGATTCCCGAAAAAGGCAACCAAATCGGGGATGGTTTTTTGGGGGTCATTCCAATTCTCGTCTGAGAACCAGCAAGCTTGCTTCTGCGCAACGGAACCCACCTGTGTAGATTCGTGCCGAAATGATTGGACAACACCCCCCAAAAAACGACCTGTTGTGCCTCGTAATTCTGCATTCGTGCCAAAATGATAGGAACCACTCAAGGAAGCCCTGCGTCTCTTTCGGCAAGGATGCCTCAAGAGATCAGAACAGCGCATTTCTTGTACATTCATGCCAAATGGAGATTTCAAAACGAAGTCCGAAGAACAAAAAAGTCACCTGCTTCGGGGGCGGCCATGTCTTACAGAGTGTGTGTGTGTGTGTGTGTGTGTGCGTGCGCGTGCGCGTGCGCGTGCGCGTGCGCGTGCGCGTGCGCGTGCGCGTGCGCGTGCGCGTGCGCGTGCGCGTGCGCGTGCGTGCGCGTGTGCGTGTGCGTGTGCGTGTGCGTGTGCGTGTGCGTGTGCGTGTGCGTGTGCGTGTGTGTGGGCGTGGGCGTGTGCGCGTGCGTGTGGTGTGTGCGTGTGCGTGTGCGTGTGTGCGTGTGCGTGTGTGTGTGCGTGGGCGTGTGCGTGTGCGTGCGCGTGCGCGTGCGCGTGCGCGTGCGCGTGCGCGTGCGCGTGCGCGTGCGCGTGCGCGTGCGCGTGCGCGTGCGCGTGCGGGAGCGCGTGCTGGAGCGGGAGCGTATTTCTGAAACCATGTGTCAGCATGTGCATGTGCGTGCGTGCGTAGAAGCGTGCGTGCATGCGTGCGTGCATGCGTGCGTGTGCGTGTGCGTGTGCGTGTGGGTGTGGGTGTGGGTGTGGGTGTGGGTGTGGGTGTGGGTGTGGGTGTGGGTGGGTGTGTGGGTGGGTGTGTGGGTGGGTGTGTGTGTGTGTGTGGGTGGGTGGGTGGGTGTGTGTGCGTGTGTGTGTGTGCTTGGTATGCGAAAAAAATGTTGACACCTTTTGCCTAACGAGGATGCATGCTTCCACCCTTGGGAACTTGCTTGTGGTTGCCATCATGAAAGTCTGGCGGAGAAGTCCCATTTTTCGGGAGCCAAACGCACATGGCTCATGATGACATGCTTGAAACGTGCGATAAGGGCTGAGTGTTGCCTCGAGCCCTTGTTGCAGATTGAGCCTAAACGGGACAAAGAAACCTTTGTGGTGCCTCTATTTCTGCGTTTGCCTGGAAGTGGGCCCCCAAAATGTCTGGGGGTAGTGACCTTGAACAAGAACATGAGAGACAACCTGAAGCACTTGGAAGCTGTAGGGTTCGCTTTCCTTATCCCTCCCAAAATCGAATTTTCGACCGGTACCAAGCAAACGAGGGCTCCGGGAGAAAAGAAGAAGAAAAAAGCCGAAACTTGTGGAGCGAGTTCCCATTTGCACAGGGCCCTTCTTTGGTATCCCCTCTCTTGGGCAGCTGCGGCACCAAGATCCCTTGGAAAGGGTCCATAGGTTTGACAACCCCGATTTCAGTCAAACATCAGAATTCGGTGGATTCATTCATGTCCAGACTCACTTGATGTTTTTAAACTTCACAACCAGGCGGGTGTGTGTGTGTGTGTGTGTCAACAAAAAAACACGCAGCTTCCATGGCATTTGTGTGTGTGTGTCCATATGGGTGTCGCTCAAAATGGTCAAGCAATTGGGTGACGCAGGAGTTAAAGTCTGTGGCTCCATTTACGGTGCAATTTTGGAATTCATCAATTTGAGCCACACCCAAAATGGGCGCACACCATGATTCGGGCTTCCGTGGAGCAAAATTGGGGGGCACAAAACCCAGGCGCCGAGGCCCCCCGCCCGCCACCACGTGGAGAGATCCCCCGGCCAGGCTCTTGACGTCCACCTTCACCTGGCACCACATCCCGACGAGCCCCGAGCCCTCGAGGCCATAGTAAGACATCCTTGGGGATGTCTTACTTCTTTACATTGAATGCTGCATCCAGCTAGCAGCTACCTTCATCTTCTTATAGCACTGTCTAATATCACCTGCTAGCAGGTGATATATACAGCTATAGCCTATAGCATCTATTTATAGTTGCTGTATTCAACAAGATCAGGCTGGGACTAGTTGAAGTTTTGTTGGAACGTCAGCTTCCAGCTTGCTTCATGGAGAAATCCTTGCGAAATCAAGCCCTTGCCTTGGAGGGAAACCGCAAGGAAACCGAGGCGTCCAATCGGAGGTGAGATCAACAAGAGCAAGACTTCTCAAATCCGGGCGCCGATGCTCCAAAGGGATCAGACTCCAAAAGTCTGAGGACAACTCTTGACAAAGATGGGCGATGAGCCTTCGATCCCTGCAACAAAGTGTTTCTTTGTTTGGCCATGTGGGTGTGGGTCAAAATTGAACCAGGGGACCCCAGGATTTAGTGCCCTGGGTACCCATTTTGGGTACCGATTTTGGGTACCCATTTTTGACCCACAGCCATGTCACCAAACGGGTGAGCACTGAACGAACCAAAGAACCCGTCTCACCTGTCAATCCTGCCGCGCCTTCACTCGCATTCACCGAAGCCACCGGCGGTGGGCCTCAAGCCTCTCACCTGCAATGGAACCGCTTTTTGTCAGGTGATGCTAGATTCGTCCAAAACGGGGAACTGGGAAAGAAAGAGATCAACATGTTGTTCCTCTTGTGGCCCCTTCAACAAATAACCACCTGCACTCAAACATCCCTTGGATAGACCCCTGCAAGATCCCCAGTTTTGCACCTTTAAGCCCAAACGACCGCCCCAGCCCCGCAACCCCTGCACATCCCTGCACCCTCCCTGAATTCCCCAAACCAGCCCCAGGCATCGCCTTTCTGGGACAAGCGACCCAAAACATAGCGCTGGAGCAGCAGGGGAAAAACCGACACAGCCAGGTGAAAGACATGGCTGTGACTAAAACCTGCGGTCTCCTGTTGCTTAGTTTTGACCCAGACCCACATGTCCACTCTCTCATTCCTTTCTCTCACCTATCATTATCTCTCACCTGTCTTTTCCCATCATATCCAAGGCAAACCAAGCACCAGCCTCTAGCGCAAAAGATTTCCGGCGCGCTGACGCGAGGCGGAGCGCTAGGCCGCCGGCGGCTTCTTTCAAATAAAGCCCAAAGAAGCCGTGCTTGTTGTTGTGTTGTTGTTCTCTTTCCTTTCGTTTCTCCTTCTTTTCTTTTTGAGGGGGGGAGTCCCTAATTTTGAGAGCCCCCAAAAAATACTCCGCGAGGTTGCTTACCCGGCACAC